GAGGGGTCTTACATGGATCACAGGGTGGCTGTAAATAAACAGGATCTCAGCCTTCTGCACACGAGAGTCAAAGGGAGAGGGGGTGTGAGCTAGTTCTGGAGAGGACCCCTCCCCCAGCAAGTAGGTCCAGCATGTAGCTTGTGCCCCAAAAGCGTATGTTCAAATTGCAATTAAGCCTGGCATCTGCTGGGTTCTAAGAGGGCACAGGGCAGAGGCCAGCATAGAGCCAAATAGGCAGAGGAAGTAAGTTAGAGTTTTGTCATTGTGACAGAATGCCTGACAGAAATAACATGAAGAAGCAAAAATTGAAGAACACTGTTCTGGGGCTGGAGACATGGCCCCGCAGTTAAGAGCCTATGGCGCACTTCTACAGCTGGATTACCATCACTGAGCTGGGGGATGTTAGAAGTCAGGGCCTTGAATCAGGAGAATTGCCATGAGTTCCACACCAGTCTGGGTTCTCAAGTGATCCCTGTCTCAAAACATTGATTAACTAAGTTATTCGTGAGGCTGAAAAGATGTTCAGTAGTTAAGAGCCCTTCTTGCTCTTACAGAGGACCTGAGTTTAGTTTCCAGGTGGCTCTTCACTCCTGTAATAGATCAGACACCCACATGTAAATAATTTTTCAATTGAAATAATAAGAAGCATTCTTCAAATTTATATATATATATATATATTATTACTGTGTGTGTGAGTGTGTGTGTATGTGTGTGAGTGTATGTGTGAGTGTGTGTGCGTGTGTGTATGTGTGAGTGTGTGTGTGTGAGAATGTGTGTGTGAGTGTGTGTATGTGTGTGTGTGAGTGTGTGTGTGTGTGTGAGAATGTGTGTGTGAGTGTGTGTGAGTGTGTGTGTGTGTGTATGTGTGAATATGTATGCTATGGCACGCATGTAGGGGTCAGGGGACAACTTTGTGGAGTCAGTTCTCTTCTGTCCACTGTTATGTTGTTCTGGAGATTGAACGAAGGCTGTCAGGCTGGACTGTCCCTGTGGCCAGTGCCTTTATCGGCTGAGTCAACTCACTATCTGGGGAAGAGAGGTTCACTATGGCTCATGGTTTTAAAGGTTTCATCCCGTGGTCAGCTGGCTCCCTTGTTTCTGGGTTGTGTGAGACAGAGCACCATGGCAGAAGGCACGGTGGTATAGCATAGATATGCACCTCATGGAGGGTAGGAAACACGTAGAGAGTCAGGAAGAGGTCATAGACCAGGGCTTTCCAAAACACACCCCAGTGACCTGCTTCCTGCAACCAAGGCCCACCTCCCTCTCCTGCCACCTCCAACAGTGCCACTGTATTGTGAATCCACTGATGAAGACAGAGTCACTCTGATTCAGTCCCTTCGCAGAAGCCCTACCCCAGGACACTGCTGCCCTGGGAACCATGCCTTCAACACACGAGCTTTTAGGGGAATGTCTGATATTCTAAATGAGGTCGGCCACCACCACTCTTCAAGCCCAGGTCATGGAGGCCACAGCATCAGGCTCAGGCCCCAGCAGTTTAGATGGCCAGAGCCCTTTCAACCAGAAGGAGTGGACTCTGGGCCATCGGGAAAGTCAGGACCATGGGAATCAGGTAGAGCACTTAGCACCCCATCCTCCCACCCCCACCCCCTTTTGAGATCACTCATCTTCAGAGGTTGTTGTGTTTTGAAAACATCGACATTGCCGGGCGGTGGTGGCGCACGCCTTTAATCCCAGCACTTGGGAGGCAGAGGCAGGTGGATCTCTGTGAGTTCGAGGCCAGCCTGGTCTACAAGAGCTAGTTCCAGGACAGGAACCAAAAGCTATGGAGAAACCCTGTCTCGAAAAATCAAAAAAAAAAAATCGACATTGTTTATTTATTTATTTATTTATTTACTTATTGGTTTTTCGAGACAAGGTTTCTCTGTGGTTTTGTAGCCTGTCCTGGAACTAGCTCTTGTAGACCAGGCTGGCCTTGAACTCACAGAGATCTGCCTGCCTCTGCCTCCCGAATGCTGGGATAAAAGGCATGCACCACCATCACCGGGCTCATCAACAATTTTTTTTTAAGAACAGTATTATAAAGATCGCCACATATCTGAAAGGTTTACACTTGTCTAACTAGCAAGTATGCACACACACACACACACACACACACACACACACACAGTGCATTGGTGGCTCTGTTCAGATAATTACAGAAATCATGAAGGGCTTCTACTCGGGGACAGGATGTAGCCGGGAGTGGGATGTGCTCGTAATGATGGCTGCTGAGTGTACCAGCTCTCAGTCCTGCCAGGATGGTTGTCTGCCTTTGTACATGGGTAACTGCCCACAGAAAGAGCATTGGAGGCCTATGCTTATAGCTCTTCAGGAATATGGCTCAGAGCAAACCCTGGGTAGTGAGTAGACCACTCCCCAGACTCCAAGGTCAAGGGCTGCAGGCAGCAAGAGCACAGCCTGCAAAGATAGAGGGCTGCTCTGTCTGATCCGTAGTCCAAAGACTAGCATGGCTACCATGCATTTGGGGGAACGACAAACGGCTGAGATACAGGGCTCAGCCTTTCCACAGAGTTTGGGGCAGTTTGGAATGCCATGGTAACCACAATCCTCTCTCCGCAGACTGGAGGCAAAAGGCAGCAGTATGTAGGAGAGGGAAGGGGAAGGCTTAGGTTCTTGTGCCTAAATCTGAGCCCACACCCCGCCCCTAACCCAAGATCCAGGCTCAATCACCCAAACAAGAGACAGACAGAGCTTCACAGTCACTAAGAATTAAAACCTATTGATTTTCCCCATTAGCTAAAGAATGCCATCAGAGTGCATTAAAACCCGGCGAAGCACAGCTTCCTGAATAATTAACATCTGCAAATGACAACCCCAAGGGACCTGGGGAGGGGGAAGGGACATCCAAAGGCCAATCTGACCCCCTCTGACTCCCCCCTCGGGGAGTGTAGCATGGGCTACTTCTCCTCTTCCACCCTGTCTCTTGTCCCTTCTCATTCCGTGCCCTCCTTTTGGAGGGATAACCTGCCAATTCTGCATATCCAGAGACCCAAGGTTGACCCTTGAACAGGGAAGGGGAGCCCCAAGTGTCACAACCTTAAGGGAGATGCCACTCCTTTCTGAATGCATTCTCCTTGCTATGCAGCGCAGCCAGCCTCTAGCTATGTCTTCTCAGTCTGTGGTTCTAGATAGAGACAGAAATCTAAAACCACATAGCAGTCTGCAGCAGAGCTTTTGTGAGGACCCAGGGCCGGCAGATCATCTCCCCAGATCAATCGCCAACAAACAGAAAGAAGCACCCGGTTCGCATAGGCCAATTCAGAGAAGGTGCCCCATCCAGTGTGGAAGGAAGCAGGCCCTCGGCACAGACAACCCAAAGACATCCCAGAGGCAGGCGGGCATTTCAACACGAGGGAAGTCTACTTAGGAGAATTGTGAGTTCAAGGTCAGCCTGGGCTACACAGGGAGAAAAAGAACAGGAGAGAAGAAAGGGAACAGAAGGAGGGAGACTGATTAAGGCAAACCATCCTCCAAGCTAATCTACAAGAGAAAGCCTTCCTTTGGGGTGAACCATTTAGGAAAAAGCCAAGTCCCATGCAAACATGCGAGCCGTGGACAGAGCTGGATTCCAGCGTCAAGCTGCTGTCTGCCAGCACGTCTTTGGCCACTGATCAGGAGCTAGCCCCCACTCTTTCTTGGCCAAAGAGGTCTGGGCCTGTCCCAACTCAGTTCCAGGCGTCTAACTCTCCTACTTCCAAACTCCCCAGGTCCTCAGTTTCAAGCCAAGTTCTTGCCTGTCTTCCCCACCCAGCCTTCCTCTTCCTCACCTATGCTGAGCAGGGTGGCTCAGAACATCTCTTCTTGTTTTGAAAGGCTCTGTAACACCCCATCATACTCGCTGTTTGCTAGTCTTGCCCCACCTCTTGAGCCCCTGGGAAACTGCTCCATCCAAAAAGCCTTCTTCAAGACCTTCCCTGCCTCTCACTCTCTTCCCCAAGTGCAAGCTAGTTCCCGTGTTTGAGCTGGAAGGTTCTCCCTCCAGATCCTCCGGCTGGTACCTCCCTCTCCTGCAGGTTGCTGCTCTGATGTCCCCTTGTTGGGAGTTGGTTCTCAAAGCAGTCTTTCTGACTACCTGCTGGCCCATCAGCCCCATCACACATCTCCTGGTTAGTCCCCTGCCCTTTCCACAACCTGAATTTCTTTATCTTCTGTTTCTTCTGCTCCCAGGGTTGTATGTGTTGTCAATTTCTGCAAAGGTGGGGGGCAGGAGCTGAAAACTAGTCCAGGTCCCCACTAAAGGCAGGTGCTCTGAGATTGCCAGGAGGGAGTACCCTGTGTAGACCAGCTGTGACCCCTTCGGCCTCCTGTGGGGTACAAGCCCACCAAAGGAGAAGGAGCTTCTGACTCTTGATGACTGTGTGCTCGGAGTCCTGCCCAGTGCCTGATAGATACATAATGATACAGGTCAACAGGGTCCATTCTGGTATCCCCAAGCTAAGCGTGCTACTAAGCTATGTCTGCCTTCTCTCTGGCTCCCATTCAGAGTGGCCATGCAATTGGACCCAGAGTCATCAGAGATGGTGATTTCTGGGAATGTGTAGGACTTGGTTAGTTGACTGTGGAGGTGTGAACTGCGGAGGGGGGCGGGGACTGGGGATGCTCCCTGGAGCCCAGAGCTCTGAGTCCTACCCAGATCCTTCCTACCTGCATTCGGAGGGTCCAGGTGGCACAGGAAATCTGACCGAGCCCCAGGGACTGCGCAGTGTTCCGGAGAGTCTGCTGCCGCACCAGGCTCCCAGCAGAGGCGTGGTCCTTGCTTGCTTCACTGTGGCCAGCCGCAGCCTCCCAGCTCTGGCAGAGAAGGAGTTAACTTCCAGGCTTCTCAGCGTGAATGTGGAGCTATTAATACCCACAGCCCAGCCATCTAGAGCCACCACAGAACTGAGCCCCAGAGCTGAGCGGAGGGAGCAGGGAGCAGAGCAGCCTCCACTCTGGCCAAGCGGCACCTGACTTCAAGGGTCAGAACTTTTCCTGGGGACAGTGTAGACACGGTGCCAGCCTCACCTGACCCTCACCAACCCTCCAGCTCTAAGTGTCAGCTGGCTTTCCTGGAGGCCACTGTACCATTCACTCCAGCAGAGGAGAACAAACTTTGTCAGCCACCTCCGTGTCTGCTGGTCAACTCGGAGCAAGAGACAACTGAACAGACATACAGACAGAAGGCCAAGGCAGCTGTGGGCCTATCCTCAGAGTCTTACCTTTAGCAGACATCAGCAGAGCGGACAACTGAGGTGCTGAGGACTCCTCCAGAGGCAGCGATAGACCCTCTGGCCACTACCAGTCACCTCAGGAGTCCAGGCAGCTGCTAGCCGTTGTTCAAGTGTGGCTCCCGCGGCTGGACCCCCTGTGCCTCAGGACAGGAGCCCCAAGAGAGCCACAGGCTCTTCCACCTACCGAGGCAACGGGTAACCTGAGTGAGAAGGCGCAGGTGGCAGGCAGGCAGGCACGGGGTCCTGAGGCCGACAGGCTGCTGACCCTGGAGCACACTGGCTCAGAGACCCGTGCCCTGGCTGGGGAAGATGCTGTGGAGACCACCAGCAGCCACCCCGGCCCTGTCCTGCAGTTGCCTCCTGCCTGGCCCCTGGGCTGTGGAGCTGATGATGTCCCAGCTTTTTGCTTGGTTTGCTTCCACAGAGAGGAGGAGGAACTGGAAGAGGTGCCACTGCAGAGGTCAGTCCTGGGGTGGGCAGCGGGCTGGCAGGACCATGGTGCAGCCCTCCCCTGGGCTTACAGGCTGGCTATGATGCTTATGGGACCTCTCCACCCACTCTCACCCCCCTCCACCATCCCGCCAAGCTCACTGGCTGTCACTACAACCTTCTCTTCACTCCTTCTACTCTGGTCCTAGATCGACTTGCCTGTTCCTTCATTCCCACTGTGGCCATTTCTTGTCCCTATTTAGAGACATCCATGGTTCTTCAGCTCCTACAACAGAAAGTCAGCTTTCAGAGTTCAAGACCTGTGTGATTGGGGTTGACACCCCATCTCACTCTGTTCCCCTGTGTTACCAGGGATACCCTGGCTCCCCACACACACACACCTAGGCCCAGATGAAATGCCTTTTCTCCCAGGGAGGCCTTCAGGAAGCCACAGGTCCACTCAATCCAAGAGCCCCTTGTGCTTCTCGAGTTGTCCTGGCATTTAACAGGTGCCCAGGCTTGGTTGGATTAGTAAGTGAAAATGTGTATGTGTGAGTGTGCTCAGGTGTGAACACTCACACATACAGAAAAGGGAGGGAGAGAGGGAGAGAGAAGACGAAGATTTCTACAGCTGCGATTGTGTATTTGTGGGCGTGTGTGGGCATGTGTGTGTGTGTGTGTGTGTGTGTGTGGGCGTGTGTGTGTGTGTGTGTGTGATTGTATACACAAGTTTGTGGGAGCAGAGGTGAGTTCTGTGTACCTTTGTGATGAGACTGCATGTTGCCAAGTGGAGTTCAGACCTTCACATTGGTGTGCCTTTCCCAACTCTCCTCACTCCGACCCTCAGGGAAACCTTAGCTCCGGTCAAGTACGTTACCCGGTCAAGTACATGGCCCAGGATCTGGGTGAATGTACAAGCTGGCCGGGTCACCTCTGCTCCAGCCCAGCCTTCCTGAGTCAGTGCCACCATGGGAAAGGCAGACACAGGGCCACTCTGGGGTTTCTTCTATGCCCAATAAAGAATAGGAGGAGAAGGCCAGGCAGTGGTGGCACACGCCTTTAATCCCAGCACTCAGGAGGCAGAGGCAGGCGGATCTCTGTGAGTTCGAGACCAGCCTGGTCTACAAAAGCTAGCTCCAGGACAGGTTCCAAAGCTACAGGGAAAGCCTGTCTCGAAGGAAAAAAAAAGAATAGGAGGAGAAAATGTGGGCTTTCACATCCCAGGCCAGGTGCCCCTTGTGACTATGTTGGACCCCACATTTATGATTTCTCTTCTGGGGCCCTCTGTGTTCTCACCTGTGTAATGGGAAGAGGCTTCCTGCCTGGTTGTTAGCTGACCACGCAAGGTGACTGGACGCCTACAGCGTGCCAGGCTTTGGCTGGGGCCTGGAATGCTGGCACAGCCCTGGTGGGGTCTACAGCAGATGGGTTTGGCATAGAATGAGGGCACATTAGTGGGAGCGGGTACCCCGTGCTCATTAAGTCAGGCTACAAGATAGACCACCTCTGTTCACAGCACACTCTAAGTCTATCCAGATGTACAGGTGCCTCCCAGGAGATGGGGGCATCCAAGAAAAGGTGTCTGTGAGCTGTGGGGATGGCAAGGTAAAGGCCGGCGGTTTGGAAAAATCACTGTCCGGGGATGGGGTGAGGACGGCAAAGAGAGTAGTATCCGATCACATAGGCCCAGACTTCCGAGTCACATACTTTGGTCTATAGGCACCAGAGCAGCCATGGGAAGGCTGGAAGCCAGTCGGGTTAGGAGCCTCAGTGAAGCTAGGTGGGAGACGTTGTACTTAACTTCACAGAACTCCACAGGCTCAGTGGAGCCATTGTTTTCCTAGGGAGCTTGGAGTGCTGGGTGAATGACTGAGTGAAATGACAGGGGGAGACAGGACCAGGGCATCATCTGCTATTACAGACCCTCTGTCTCTCCTTCTCTCTGTGGGTAAGGAACCCAGGGCCTTGCCCATGCTAGGCTGATTCTCAGCCCTGGGCTGACTATCACCAGCACACACTGCCAAGCTCGGCCTTGATGGCCCTGGGCTTCAGGTCAATGCATACATATTAATCAATCCCAATTGGTGAGTGACTCAGGAAGCCCCAGAAGAGGCTAACACACTAGGACTAGAATCTTCTGCCCTCTTCTTCCTCAGCTTCCCTCCCCCCACCACCTGCAGCTTAGGGGATTCCCGCGTCGAAGAGGTCCCTCCGTCTCCTGCTCTGGGATAGAATGGCTTGTGTTTCCAGGGGCTGATATTCTTTCTAACTGACACTCTGGCTCTTTAAGGCCGAAGGGAGGGACACTGCCAGGCTGGGCAGAGATGGTGACCACAGGTGCCAGGTGGTGAAGCTAAAAATACCGAGTGATGTGGACAGCCGGGCTGCAGGAGCCAGGCAGAGCTGGCTGGGAGGGACAGCAAGACTGGGTGAGGTCACCTTGGACTCGGAGAATGTGTGGTGTACTGGACGCCCTCACCACCTCTCCTAGCCTCTCTCTGGGGCCAGGGTTTCTCTAGAACACCCAGCTGCCATCTTTAAAAGCCATGGGCCAGTCTGAGTCTGCCACCGTCCTCTTTCCTGTGACTCTGAAGTCTTTTGGGGTCTCTTCGTAGGCAAAATGGGGATAAAGAGGCTGTAAGGGGTATAGGCAACCTGCTCATTCATTGGTAGGTTGAACAAACTTCCTGAAGCCTCCAAGGACTGGATGTTGAAGCCACAGAGATGGGAAGAATGCAGACACCGCCCTGATGGGGCTCACTGCCTTGTGGGCACCAACGGCTATTGTGTGGCCAGGAACCTCTGTGAGCTGTAAAGAGAGTACACACCACGCCAATGGATTCTCCTGTAGGTTCATGCACACTGTGCCACAGGCCAGCGACAGCGTTACCAGCCACCTGCTCGTGCTGTGCCGATGTGTTAATTAGGTGAGGCAGCTGCTGTGCCCATGAGCCTGGAATTTAGGCTGCATTCTTCACAGCTGATGTCCTCGAGATGGAGTCCAGTGAGAAGGGCTCTGCCCCGAGATCTTTCGCTGACCCTGACTCCTTTCATCTTGGCATTGGCAGCTCTCAGAACCTCAGAATCCATTGCTAGAATCTGCATTCCACTGGTAGGGAGTGAAGGGAGAGTGGAGGAGCCAGGTGGGGTGCAATCCTGCAATGCCTGCCTTCCAGAAGCTGAGGCAGGAGGATTGTGAGTTCAAGGCCACCCTAGGTTATCTATAGTCTCACTCAAAACAAATACATTAAATTTAAAAGATCACCCAAGGTTTTTGAGAGTCAGGTGGAGGCAGTCTCTTTTACTTGTGTATACACGCATTGCCTATGACAGCAAGGGGTGCTGGGAAAGGCAGTCCAGTGCCACAACCTCACTGGGGCTTTATGAATGTGGGATAGTTTGCTCTGTGAAGACAAATGACCTCATAATAGGTGCAAATTGTGCTTATTCATTCACTCAGCAAAGTGGATGGCATCCTGCATGGGAGAAAGCTAGGGGCCACATGAGAAACACCAGCTCTGTGGTCCTGGGGCTCAGAGTTAATGAGGGTCAGAGGACACCCGAGTAAACCCATAATGGGATCATCCAGTTCAGACCCACTGGGGAGGAAATGAACAGGGACACACAGGAAACACACACTTCATGTAAGGTGACGTGGGAGGCTGACGTCCCAGACCTGGCAAAGGGAGGGGACTGGCCATCCATGCAGACGGAACAGAGGCTGCTTGGCACACAGTGACGGCTCACTCTGAGAAGCCAACGCGGACAAGCGGAGGAGAATGGTGAGACAGTGACGTCCGTGAGTGGGGAACAGGCCAGATCCACTCGGCCCTGATAGCTCTGCGAAGGAGCTGGGTTTTCTACTAGATGGGACAGGGGATCCTTTAGAAGCTTTTAAGTGGGAGAAACAATAGAATCTGCTTGACATTTTAAAAGATCCCTGAGGCTGCTCTCGGCGAATCAATGGCTGCGGGGCGAGCATGGATACAGGACACCGGCACTGAGATCATGGAGGGATGTGCAGGAGGTAGGCAGGCCAGGATCGAGGGAAGAAGATGGCCGCTAGCACATTTTGAATATGGTTGGTCCCAAGAATTCACACAGGAGTTCAATCCCAAAAGGATTATGTCAATGATAGCAAAAGATAGAAAATTAACTTCGGTGTGGTGTTGGAGATGAGATAGCACAACGGATTAGGTCATTAGGGTGGAAGCTCCCATGACTCATGGTGGCTTCGTAAGTAGAGGGAGTGAGGCTACATGAGCCTGGCCAGGTGTCTGTGTACTCCAGCCGTGATGTAATGCACCTGTCAACACCTTCCTGTCCCCATCAGAGCCTGTACGACGCTACTTGGGCTTACAGGCTGCAACCCTATGCACAAAGTTCTTTAAAGATTAATTTTTTATTTGTATGTTTATGTCTGTGTAAGCATGTGCTGTGCATGTGCGGGTGCCCTCGGAGCCCAGCCGGAGTTACAGAACTCTAGGCAGCTGTGAGCCGCGGGACATGGATGTTGAGAAATGATCCTGGGTTCTCTGCAAGAGCAGCAAATATGCTTAACCACTGGGCCATCTCTCCAGTTCCATCTTTGTTTATTTTTTTAAAAGAATTTCAGGGTAGGTCAGTCTAAAGTATGGCTGAAATTAATTCTATTTTTTTTCAATTATTTATCCCTGAGGGTGGTGGAGAACAAAACACCACAATGGGCGAGGAGGTCTGAGAGCAATGTGGAGGTGTCAATTCTCTCTTTCCAGCAGGTGGGCTCTGGGATTCGAACTCAGGTCATCAGGTTTGGCTGCAGCTCTTTTACCCATAGAGCCATCTCACTGGCCTCTTTCAAACTTTTCCTTTTCTTTCTATTTTTTTTAAAGGATAAGTTTATTTAGAACCTTGCAAAGAGTGTAGTGGGCAGTGCAGGACAGACTTGCCTGCAAATCTTTTTAAATTTTGGAACTTGTATGCACCCCAAAGGCCCATTCGTTAAAGGCTTGGTTCACTTGGTCCCCAGCGTGATACTACTGGGAAGTTGTG